ATTCGATCAGAAATAAACATGAATTTGACACTATATCATCAGTTGCACTCAAATTAGCCATCCGCATTAATTACACATCACGATTGCAAGAGTATCCTTTGCACCTATCCCTGAACAATCTTCTTTTGTGCGGTGGTTAAAATTTCACATTCTATATTAAAAGAAAAAAAAAATTTTTGTAATTTTTCGATCACATTTTTTTTTTTTCCATTGAGGCTTGACAAAAATTATACTCACGATACGCCATTCCGTCATCCCTATGGGTCCAATGATCGGCATTACGGTCGACGTTGTAGGTAAGACTAATGTCACTACGTTCCTTACGTTTTTCCTCGGTGGAAACTTTGAATCTCTTATCGCGATCTTCGAGTAATTTTGGTGAGATCTGGTTATCCGCGGTGAATGACATCATCAGTTGCGGAGGACCTTTAAATTAAATTATGGTAAGTAGGATTCTTGTGTAATGGGAAAATTATCATGTGAGAAGTTGGATTACCATATGGTAGGGGATCACCACGGTCAACTTGCCAGAAATGCCAGGTCTACAAAATTGCAGAGATCAAGCTCGTTAATAAGATACAGTGAATAAATAAATAAATATATACAGTATATAAATATATATATACAATATATACGCGAAGATTAAAATTACAATTACCTTTCCATAAGTGTTAACGAAGCCTTCCATGACCTTTTTCTCTGTTGCATCAGCGATAACACTGGGAACTGCCGAGCCAAACGGGAGGATCAAAATTCCTGATTTGACCTGCGCACACGTATACAACAGTCAATGAAAACTCGATTCATTCAATAGTTCATTCACATTACTCGCCTCGTAGACGTGAGAGTGCCAGTACTTCTTTTCTTCCTCGGGAAGAGCTATTGCGACACAAATAGAATTGAATCAAAATTCATCGTGAAAGAACGCGAGGGAATAACTTGGATAATCTCAATACTCAAGAAAACTTTGGCCGAGATTATATACTCGACACCGATCAGCCTCGCATCTTGTTTATTGGAATCATAGATCAAACATTGACGAACATCTTCATTGAGATGACTGCAATAATGATGTGCTTCAACTTGACGAGTCATATCAT